GAGTCCGAGGAAGGCGAGGGTGTAACAGGTGGCACGTTCTCGTCCGTGCCTCCGCAGTTTTCCTCGCTCGTTCCATCTCGCGCTCTTCTTCTCTCTGACGAAGCGCGACTCAACCACGAGCCGAATCGAGACTGCCACGTCGTCATTATTGACTCGTTCCTCCTCTACGGCGAAAGGGGTTTACCCGGTCGTCTCTCGGTGCCGAATGAATTCCCGTTCACGGTCGATCGAGAACCGCCCGCAAGTCTCTGAGAATCTCGCCTCGCGCGCCGCTCCTTCGTAATAAAGTTCAGCCCGCCTCTTGTATACATGGTGCGTCCGCGGAATAGAGATTGCGTTCTCTTCTCCCGAAGCCGAGAACTTGAAGAGAAAATTCAAAGAAGACTCGGCATCGTGAAACAATTTTATACTTCAAAATGTAATACCTCGTGCGTATGCGGTGGTAAAGAAAAACGCTCCGATCGTTCCATTATACTTCGAAATGTAATATGCGTTGTAATCCCGCAATGGATATGACCATTTTCCAGGTAGTATTTTTGCAAAGGAGAGAAGACGGTTTTTAGGAGCTCGCCTTTGAGGAATAATATTATTGTATTATTTAAGCGAGACGAAAAATTCTGAGAACGTTAACGGATGCCTCTGTACAATTTCTCGTAATAAATACGAATGAATATTCTGCTCGTTCCGCTTGTTCCGAATATGTAAAAAGTACCTGCGCAATTCTAGTAATTTCTATAATTTCAGCATATTTATGTCTCCGCCGTCTAAGACAACGCTCTTAGGTAAATTTCTCTCCTATCGTTCACCAACCGACGCCGCCGCCGCCGTAATATTCTTCGCAGGAAGCCTCTTGTCGCGAGGAACGCGTATTTGGGTCGACTGGCTCGCAGAACATAATTTCACGACGCTCGGTATTTACCGTCGTCGACGGAATGTTGAAATATTCATGAAACGAACATCGCTCTCGTCCCGCGCCATCGCTCTCGCTCGCTCCTATAGTAGCAGTCTCCCTCTCTCGATGGTCCCTATTGTCTACCCTGTGTTACACGTGCACATCTTCTCTCACCTCTTCGTCATCTACGTCACGCACGCCTGGACTAGCCCGGAAAAGTACTCCCACGATCGCGAGTGCCTCGTCCTTCTTCCTGGACATTATGCTTGCTCATCTAACGGTATCCCCTCTCGACGAGTTAATCACACACGCACGTAAAACAGAGGCGCACACATGCGTACGTACACAGGCGAGAAGAAGCCAAGCTCACGCGATCCTCCGTCATTCCTCCGTCGAAGAGATCGGCAGCACAATTATCGCGAGGTTCTCTTCGTTGACTCGTTTACCTCCGCGAGGAAATGGAAACGAATAAGAGTAAAGAGCTTTCTTTTTCTTCTTTCTTTTTTTTTTTTTTGTTAAATCGATCGTGGCACTCACACACGTATTTACAAAAATCACTTATACTGCATCGCGCTCATAGATGTGGAATAGTGTGTCGGTGTCTGCTTTTAAGCGATTAGACTCGGCGCGCATCTCGCTCGCGTGCCACCTATGTAGGAAACTCTCTATCTTAAGAATTAAGTGTCTCGTTTATCTATCATAAATCAAGACTGCAACACAGTGTTTCTCTCTCTCTCTC